CTGCTCTTGCTTAAACTAGTTTATCTTTTAGGTAATGGATGCCTACTATGATCAAGTTGTCTGCCCGAAGTCCAACGGAGCTGCTTTTTTGGCAGTGTGTAGGGGGAAGGTAACGTAACATCATTTATTTCATCTGAGATCAGATCGTGTAGTTGGTGGGGAAAAAAACATCACTCTGGATTTCAGGACATTTCTGTTCTGTGACTGTAATTATATGTGGGAAGAAACAGAAGTGGTAGGATGCCCTGAAGCCTTTTCAAAATTATGTCAGGTTTACGTATGCCTCGTTCCTGTTTTTTATGGAAGGGATACATCTTTGAGTTCTGTAAGGGGGATGAGGTTCATGCTTGTATTTCCTGTTGGCTGCTCACCAAAAACTCAACCCATTAGATGAGAACAACAGTTCTGGAAGAGAATTAAAAGAAACATTTGTAATCGAGCATGTTAGAACAACACTGAAAACCAAAGATATTGTTTAGCTTTAAAAATTTATGTTAACTTCAGGCCCTCTGGACACGTGTGATGGCCTTTCATTTACATTTTTCCGGTGCTGATAAGCATTTATGATATCAGTGGAAATAGTTGCAAAACCATTAATTGCTCGTAGAGCCTTTTTGCTACAGCATGATGGTGTTGGCTGAGCTGAGCTTTGTCAGGGCCTCCTAGAGGAAAAAGGAAGGTTTGAATTCCCAGTAATAAAAGCAGAAAATCTGGCTGAAGCTATTAAAAACATACTCATAAACAACACTTAGCTAGGAATTAAATTCAATAGAGAAAAAAGACCAGTAACTGCTGAATAGCTCTGAAATGGCACTTCAAGCCCTGTTTATAATGAAACTGTCTCTTCAGGCCAGTGAAGGCTTGGACTTTGCAGACATAAATGGACGAGGAGTCATCATCACTGGGCTGCCGTTTCCTCCTCGGATGGAGCCCAGAGTCGTGTTAAAGATGCAGTTCCTGGATGAGATGAAGAGAAGCGGTGCAGGTGCACAGGTAACGCTGGGCAGCTTGTTGCTGTTGGCAACTTCCTGTCATCGTTTCTTCCTCTTGTTTCTGAATTTTGGCTTTTGCTGTCCCCCCAACCTCATGGGACCATGAATATCCAGAAATCAAACAACCTTGGGAGTGTGTCACAAATACAATGAGGTATTTTTTCAATAACGTTAAGGCTTCCAAATTCTGCCTGCAGTGCTGTGTTCTCAATCAGTATAGGCTCAAAAATGACATAGTTAAAGTTTCAGTCAAAGTCTTTGTATGCCTGTTATCCATCTGTCTTGCTGAGGGAATATTTCATCCCGAGAGGGTGGGCAGGAAGAATTATTGCCTGTGCTGGCTGGTTTGGGGATTTTTGTTTTGGTGGTTTGAGGCAGCAGACATTGTTTGGTTTTGGTTTGGTTTGGTTTTTCTCCTGTTGCTTCAGGCATGAGAATGAATGACATTATAAATATAGTTTATTGTTCTGCAGGATAACTGCTAGGTCTTAAATAATATGGTGAGTCTATTGTACTACCAAGGCTGCCAGTGCGTCATATATTAAATAGCCCCTGGGTTGGATATTACCACTTGAATCTCCTGCGCACCATGAGTCAGGTGTGATATTCAAGCCAACCTGTATTTGGTTTTCCAAGGCTTTGAGGGATTTGTCTGTAGATCATTGGATAGATTTTTAAACTGTCTTTAGAAATAGTGACTGTACAGCACAGAGAATACATCGTACCTGGTAAATCATGTTAATTCTTTCTCTCTATCGCAGTATTTATCTGGGCGTGAGTGGTACAGCCAGCAAGCATCCCGGGCTGTTAATCAGGCCATTGGCAGGGTCATCAGACATCGCCAGGACTATGGTGCTATCTTCCTGTGTGACAACAGGTGAAACCTTGGCTTTAGAACATAAATATTCATCAACATCCTTATATCCCAACACAGGAACTGGTATTTTGCATGTAAATTGCTGTTTAGTGAAGGCTATGGTTCGTAAGTAAAGTATTTTATATAACAGGTTATATGAATGTTGCACTGCTTTAAGGAAGTAATTAGATTAGATTATCTTCTGCTCCCATAATATCTTGTCTGGGAGCTGCAGAAAGAGGTTAGTGACATTAATGTAAAATAAGCCAATCTGTTGAATTCATGTTTGTAATGCTACTGGAAGATACTTGATAATAATTTATCATTTTGTGCTTTTTCCATCTCTCACTTGAGAAGGCAGTCACTGGTACTGCAGTTTTTTGAGAGGAGGAGGATGAAAATGAGGAAAGATTATATTGCTAAAACAATATACAGTAGGTTAATATAGGTCATTAGTATTACATTAATATCAATTAATATAATACTTAATGTACTTTATGTGCAAAGCCCTTTTCTCCTGAGTGAAGACATAACCCTGTTACATTTATTGCACTGTTTCAGTCTTTTGTTGTCCTGCTGCTCCTCCCTTGTCCTCTTGGCCCCTGATCTAGCGTTTGTTTAATTCACATAGGCCAACCTGGCAAATAATTCTCTTCTTCCAATCCTGCCCAGGTTCACAAACGGTGATGTGAGAGGCAAACTGCCTTCGTGGGTCCGCCCGTACGTGAACGTTTATGACAACTTTGGGCATGCGGTCAGAAGCGTCTCCCTCTTCTTCCGTGTCGCTCAAGAAACTGTAAGTGTCCTAAAAATGTTTAATGTGGTTTTGTTCGTTGGGGTTTTTTTAATTGATAGTATTGGAACCTAGGAATACCAAGTCAGGTGAGAGGTGGGACAGGAGTTGCTCATCTTGTGACTTGTAGGCACTGGAAGCTTTACGGGAAAGGAGATACGCCTCGTTTTTCCTCAAGAGTGAGCTGGGACAGGATGTGCTGTCATGCTGTGCAACTCACTAGGTTAGATCACAAAAATAACTTCCTCTTCCAGGCCCTCTAAAATAAACACAGCTTTCGTTGGATGGTTTGCAAATACAGGAACCAACATTAGCATCAAAAAGCTTTCTACTTCAACCTTGGAGAGTGGGTGTATGTGTGAAGGAATCGGTCAAACCCTGAAGTTGAAATCTAAGCTGAGACAAACCCACCAGTTATTATTACAGTTCATCGCTGGAGCATTTTCATGAATAAGGCTTCTGTCTCGGCGTTGAGAAGCTCTTCTTCCCAGTAATAGTGCCTTCACTTAAAAAGTAATGTCGTAAAAACACTTTTCTAATTGACTGGAGAAAGTCATAGCAAAAAATGGGCTGGAAGCCAGAATGAGGACTTCGTTGCGTCCAAAATGGAGATTAAGATTAAAATAAACACTTAACATTTTACATACTCACTTGGATGACTTCCTGGAAGATGCTTTAGCCGATTACAAGTTGTTGAAAATAATGAGTTACAGATGGGTGATACTGGATGACTTGATGATCTTTTTCTGATCATAAATGAGAGTTTCATGGTAAATAAGAACCACAACCCAATGTGCTTTGCCGGAAGGAGCTGTGTTGCAGGGATAGTGTTAGCAGTTGTTCTTTAGCAAGGTCATGGCCCTTTTAGAGTAACCCTGTGTGAGAAACGCGCTCACAAGATGCAAATTTAGAGACGGATCAGTTCTGTGAAGCAAAGGTTTATTAGCAGCACGCTGGGTGCAGGAAGTGCTAATAGGTTGAGGTTTAGTTGTAGTAACATTCATTATCATAGCCACACATTTTACAAAGTTATTGACATACTCAGCAGTTTTCTGGGGAAATCTTTAACATCAGTTTCTGCCCGTTGTTGCATGCGCACTCAAATCCTGGGGTGGTCGTTGAGGGTCGCAGGGATGAAGACCCAGAGTCTTCTTCACTGTAAACTTTTCACCTTGATGGTCTCTGTGTAACCAGTCATGATTTAAGCCAGTTTCTTGCAGTTGTGTCAGCTCCTTAGTTCCTTACCTTCAAGGATGTTCTGCTCTTCTCAGCTTTGAAGCACCCTTCATTCTGTCTTGGAGGTTTACCTCTGTGAATGTAGAAATCTTCCAAGCCTTGACAGATCTACGGCCTTCACAAATACCCTAGAAGTTACCAACTCCATCTCAATTCCCCCTCTTTTTTTTCTTTTCCATATACAATGCGAGTTCTTTTGCTTTCCACTGTACCCCATTACCAACTAGGGTTTCACTGATTCATTTTTTTTATAAGATCCCCATCCTGTTATGTTCCAAAGCACCACATCTTATAAAACTTATTTCAAGACCTTAGCCGTGTTTCTATACCCTAATGCTTTAACAAATTCCTTCCCACACACAATTTCTCACTCCCGGTCACTTCATGCTAAGCCTGCTGACTGCACTTCATCAATATGTGGCATGTCCTAGTTGTTTGATCCTGTCATCAAAGCACGTACCTCCAGAATGCTAACAATCTTGCTGTCAAAGGTAATTTGGGAAAAAGCAGGTATCTTTAGGTTGTTGCTGAGGTTTTTGGTTGCAAAGGAAGTGGAGTGGAAGAGCAGCTTTTGCCTACGGTAACGTTTTTGTAAACTGCTTGCAGATGCCCCCGCCCCTGCCACAACGTCCTTCTGGCTCTGCTGATTCCCTCGGTGAAGGCGATACGGCAGCATCTACTTCATCTGAGCACACCCTCTCCCTGCAAAAAGCCAAAAACTTGGATGACCATGTTCCCAGTTTGAAGAGGAAAAGAAAGGGTAGGTTTGGGTCCTTGCGGATACTTTTTGTTGTTGTTGTTTTAAGCTGAATCAAAACAAGGAGGAGCAAGAAACCAGGTACTGGAATGGGAAAGCAAGGAGAGCTTAAAGACCAGTGTAAAAGTCTGAGCAGAAGGGACATAGCTCAGTGCTAGAAAATGGGGGAATCAGCTGCAACTGCAGAGCAAAGAGGCAGATGGGGCCTGAAAGTTACAGGAGGAGTTTGGAGGAACATCATGGATAACTCAGAAAAACAAGGACTGGAAGTCCATTTCTGAGCAGCACTGACTTATCCCACAGAATGGAAGAGGTACGTTTGAAAATGACTCTTACGCAGTCATCTGACTAAGAAAACAGAGTGCATTGACCTTGGAGCAAAGCAGTATTTTAAAATTTGTGTTTAGCTAATGCCAAAGAATACAGTATTGCTCATTCCACAAATGAAGCACAATTGCTGCAGCTGAAGTTCTTTCTGGAGGATCTCGTGTATGTTTTAGTAAGCCTTTTTATCCATTGATCCTAAGGCATTTTGAGGTTAAATATGATCATCAAGTTAAGGAAAACTTGAGAGAAGTCCACCAGGTTGTGGTGACAAATACTTGAGCCGTTCTGGGAGTGATTAACCAAAGCAATCTTCTCACTAAGGCATAAAATGCAATTTTGCAAGATGTGAAACAATAAATAAACCAACGCGTCTTTGTGGGTTGCTGTGTGAGATTTTAAAGTGTTACTAAGTCAAAGGAAAGCCAAGAGAGTATGTGGGGTTTTAATTTGTCATCTGTATTGTGCTGTGATGCCAGTAAATGGAGATGGAGCACCCAGCCTATGCGTGGAATATGAACAAGAGCTGGTCTCGCCTAGAAGAGAACGTGTTGGGCTCTTGGACGCGCTGGAGCGCAATGAGAAGGGCAGCGAAGATGCAGAGGAGGAAAACGAGTTGTTTGGAGAGGAAAAGGTAACAGCAATGATGCAGCAAAGCACTTGTTTGTAAGTAAAAATTGTAGGCTCTAAAGCAGAATGAGTTTGGCACTGATTTAAGAGTACCAGTTTAACCCTCTTTCAAGAAAAATTCACTGCACGTTCTCATAATTAAGCTTAATCCAAGGTTTTCCTTGCCAAATTCAACCAGATGACCAACAGGTCTCAGTACTTGTGCTGTGCTCCACAACTGATGACCACATAGACCCCTTACCAGGCTACCAGCAGCAGGGATATTAAACTGCTGGCTTGCAGGCTCAGTTTGGCCGATGCCTAACGTGTGGACTCCAGGTCTGCTGCAACGTACCACAGCCGTTCACTTAGGGGAAGAACACTGAAGGGAAAGTGTGGAGGTGTAAGGAGCATCTGGGGAATATCAAAGGAGGTCTAAGGGAGGTGGAGATCCATACAAAATAAAGGGAATGTCCAAGCTTGGAGAAACCCACGAGGATAGTGAATATTTAACTTGTGTGCAGCCAACTGAGAAATCAGCTCCATTACCCATGGGCTGCCATGACATAGGCACCAGAAATTTATTCTTTGGAAAGCCTGGCGCACCTCCAGAGCATTGGTAACTCAGCTACAGTATCTTGTTAACACAGCTGCACTGCTTTTGGCGCAGTTCCTGAAGTCAGATAAGTCGGTTCGGCGGTGAGTCACCTCATCTCCGCTTTGTCGTTTGGTGTTACTGCACATCTGTGGCTTGCAGAGAACTGAGGGGTCATCCTGTGCTGCACCTAAATCCGTGACCTCTGGCATGGGAGATGTGGGGAATCTCACAGTACCTCCAAGGGAGCCAGCTTTCACTGAGCCTAGCAGTGAGCTGATTTGGACTGATAATGGGGTTGATGTGCTTCCATTGCTCCTTTTCACCATCCCTCATAGTATCTGTGTTACCATTTTCTTCTTTTATCAAGGTTATATTCTACCCTTGTTTCCTAAATACTGGGATTTTAGCTGCTGTCATTCTGAAACAATTTGCTTGGGGTTGAAAAAGAGGAAAAGAAGCCTTTGTCATCTCAAAAATCAAAATACAAGATATAATCTCTGAATTGCTCTCCTGCAGTTTCTTCTCTTCCTTAGGGTTTTTAATGTGGTTGTTATTGGCTTGACCTAATATTAGAGACTCTGCTATTAAGCAATTCCACTCCTTTTGCTTATACCCGCTCACTTCTCTTCTGGAGCTTTGCATATCCCAGCATTCCCAGTCACTGCAGTACAAGCACAGCTCTGTTACTGGGAATCGGAGATGCTAAAAGCTTGTCAAGCCACAAGCATTTCTGCTGCTGTCTCATCCTTTCTGCCCTGATTTTCTGCGAGACTGCTTAGGCTTCCCTCCTCAGTAACCCCAAGAAAAGCCCAATAGAGGTTTTCTTCAGAAGAAAAATACTTCCAGGCAGGGAAGTGCAGGGGCACGTGAGTACACACAGGTATGTGCACGCTCTCAGAAAACAGATAGCTGTGAGTCAGCTTTGCTTCATCAGGAATCTGCATCCTCAAGACCACTTTTGTCTTTAATTTCCTCTGGTTTGGTCTTTCTGAATTGTCCAGTAAGTGATTACCTTCTAGAAGCACGTATGTGACCCGGGCTCTGTTGCAATAATTTAAGTTGCTTTGTTTCACTTCCTTGAATGCTGTCACAAACTGGATTTAAAAAGCTTTACTGCTGGAAATGGCTGAATTAAATGGACAATAACTTTGGAAAGCGTTTTTTTGATCTTCCTTCTTTTCTTTTAATCTTCACAGGCACACCGTCTGTCAACACTTTCCCTTCAGTATGAGAAGAGGTTAACTGATGAGCAGAAAGGAGGAAGGAAGAAAATAAAGCTAGTCAGCAATACAGTATGTGTTTTTGTGTCTGTGCCATCCCTTTGATCTGCAGACTGCTTTAATTTGAATTGGAAACTTCCAGGCAGACAGATGTCTGGTGCCAGAACAATTGTTTTTCTTCTCCAAATTCCAAATAATTCACCAATGCACATCTGAAATCTATTTCTGTCATGCTCTTTCTCAAATCTAGACATCACAGACCCAATCAAGCACAGGTCTGGGTAGGGCTGCTAGGTAAAAGGAATTGTTTTCTGGCATTGACTACCATGTGAACATCTCCCATTGACCAGGTGTGCTGGGTGGTTTCATTCTTTTTGATTAGAATAGAATAGCTCAGCTGGAAAAGACCTACAAAGGTCATTTAGTCCAGCTGCTGGTAGAGCCTCAAATGCTAGAACTGACCAGTTTTGGGTAAATGATCACATCCTAACCCCACCCGTGGTTGCTGTTGTGTGTTATTATATTGCACTGTCTGTACTCATTTAACTCATTATGCAGCTCATTGCTTAAAAATCACAAGAAATTCATGAGAATCCCCATGGTGACTGCATGTGCCAGTAGTTGTCCAAGGTACTGTCTGAACTGGGAGCTGGCTGTCCCTCACTCCCACTCAGCCAGCAGACGAAACTGATAGAAGTAGTGACATATCCTGAAGCTGATCGTATCCAAGGTGTGAGGAAGGGAGCAGGTTCATTGCAGAGGTTGTGTTTGCAGTTTGTTGCTGTCTGATGTCATGATGAGTCAGCCTAGCCCTCAAGGCTTGGAGTAAATGTAATTTCTCTTATTAAGCCTTCTCCTAAGAATAGAATTGAGCAATGAGACTTGGCTGCCTTCTCTAGGAATATTCCTCTGAAGCAGTCAGTTTTGTCAGCAGAGGTGAATAACATTTGCTCTTCTGTGAGGAAATGAGCACCACAGATGTTAGAGGGACAGATGTTTTAGAAATAGATACAACAACCAGCTGGGAAATTCACAATATGCTTGTGCCTCAGGAGATTGCCCCGTTGATGCTGCCTTTTTGTCATGAAGACACATGACAAGGGGCCAGTGGCTTTTATGTTTGAAATGTGTGAGCGCATTGTAATGCAGTCACCTTCATAAAGAAAGCGTTGCTCTGAATATTTTTCAAGTCCCTGTTGCTTGTGACTGTAGAAGAATGTTTCCCAACATGAGAGAGTAATCGAGCTTGCTCATCCAGAAATGTCTTAGAGGAACCAAAATGCTTGAACACCTTGAATTCTTTGTACCCCCTGCTTCATATGTTGTTTTTCTGGTGATTGGACATTTCCAGGAGTTAGAACAGTTAAATTTCTGTTTGTTCTGCGGCACTGAAGCTGTTTGGTTTGGTGTTTTTTGGAAATAACACATGGATATGGGGTGACTACCATAATTACAAGAGACCGTAATCTGTTAGTTGAAAGCATTCATTGTTCTGTGTGCTGGCAGACTTGTAAATACATTGCTTCCACCTGAGTTCATGTAAGAGTAACGCCAAGTTGTTCTATTTACTGCAAATCTTCCTGTCTTGGCAGCAAGCTGACAAGAAATCCGACCTGACGGAGCCAAAGAAAGCCCGAGCTACGTCGTACATCGCAACAGTGAAGAAGACTCTGAGCCGGGAGAACTACGATCTCTTCTCCAAAGCTCTTCAGCAATACAAGAAGACAGACGACTTCCATGCCATGTTATCTCAGATGAGCTCTCTCTTTATAGAGGATGAAAAGAAGCATGTCTTGTTACGAGGTATGATGACTTCCTTAGTATATTTGTGTGTGATGTGACCTTTATCTTTTAACTGGGCTTGGGTGTTTCAGAGGTAAGTGGTTTAGATTTGAGGTTCAAATCAATCAGGATGATAGTCGTTGATAGTCATCGTGTTATATCCCCAGGTCACACAGAAAATCTTCTCAATCTAATTATCATATGGTGGTTTATTCTTCACTAGTCTGAAAAAAAATCACTTTCCATGGAAGCTTGTGTTGTTTTAAACCTTGCCTAAAAGTAGTACAGCTTATTCCCTGTGCTGTAGGAGTAAGATCAAGAGTGTGGTCGTGTGAGTTGGATGGATGCATTCATAAGGGCTCAGTGTTAAAGCAGCAACTAAGTGGACAGAATAGATAGAGAAATTTTCTATTTAAATAATGGTGAGTATAAAGCAAGTGGTCTAGGCAAGCATGGATAGTTTACTGGTTTAGCTGGTATTTTCTTGGCTTCTGAAAATTGCGTTGACAGGAACTGGGCTCCCACCAACACTTTTTCCAGTTTAACTGTGTTTTCTCAGGATTTTCATTTCCCTCTCAACTTGGGAGCAAACGGGCAGATTTTTCTGTGACTTTTTCATCTGCTAAAATGCATAGTTATGCATCCTGTAAATTGTTTAAGGTTGATTTTAAGGCTAAGAAATGGGAAGATCAGTATGAGCACTTAGTACTAATAGTAGCCACAGTTTGTCTTCCAGTCTGCTGATCTTACTATATAAATAAGGAAATATTTGATTGCCAAATCAAGGCCTGAGTCTAGTTTTCAGAAGCAGCAGGCACCTGAAACCTAAAGTTCATTTGATGTTTTGGCTTCTAGTTGGCAGGCATTTTATGGGAAGTGAGGTGAGGTGTAAAATTATCAGTGTGTCAGTTATTCAAATATCAGCAGAGCAGATACTTTGACCCCACGGTTTATGAGGTAACTCGTGTCCTTTTGCTGCAGTTTCACCTAAGCTACTTCATTCTTCCAGTGAAAAAATCAGTCACTGCCTACTGATCATAATATTTCTGGAAGTTTGCATGATAGCTGACCTTTGGTAACTTCTAAGTGTGCTTGTTGTATAAATATTAGATAACAACACTTACATTTTAAGTTATTTAGCTGCACATTTTTATCTTCATGCTACCTAACCTAGAAGTCCTGCCATTGCAGGTGTCTGTGGCATTTATTACCTCTTGTGAACTGACCTTTTTCTCCCCCCCCCCGCCTCTTCTCTCTCTCTAATTGAAAGAATTTTACCAGTTTGTTCGACCTCAGCATAAAAAGCAGTTTGATGAAGCATGCTGCAATCTGACTGGAGCGGGCTGCGGCTACAAACCTGAGCACAGCCTCCTGCGGGAAGAGAGGCAGATCCTGGCCAAGGAAATGGGTGAGGATCCTGTTCCAGAACCGTGCAGGCATTTGTGTTGTTTGATGGACATTACCCAGTCTAAGATGCAGAAATGCAAAGATGGAAGGCAATTTAGTTTAATTAATATTGAGCCAAGTCTCTACTCTGCATGATCCTCTTCCTTCCCGTGAGCGTGCACAGATGCCTGAGCATAAGGCAGCGTTACTGCATAGTTAGTAATGATGCCATTTGATTTGAAAAAGGGGGTTTTAGAGATCTATTTAAATCATGAATCTGGTCTGTGGGTTTAAAAGCTTTGTGTGTATCTTCTTTGCTACCCACGTAGTGTCACCAGGATTGTGAGCAGAGGGTGATCGTGTCCTCAGAGAGCTTGTGAAATCCAAAACCCCAGCACAATAAAGTGCTAAAAAACCATGGTGTTAGCTCATCCCCACTTATCACAGAAATACATCTGCATCCTCAGGTGTTCTCAGCACAGAATGGCATCCTTTGAAGTGCACCATTCTGCGTTCGTTATTCCCTAAACTCACTTTTAATGGACTTATTTGATTTAACAGAAGAAAACCAGAGTCAGCAGAAAAGCATCTTCTCAAAGGACTCACGTGCTCAGCTGAACCCTGGGCTCCACCTGAACCGAGGAGGTTTCCACTTGACAACGGGACTGAATAGTGCAGGTACCCTTCATGTTAAACATAAACACAGTCCCACAGTAATATGTGTTATGTTTTATTTTGTCACCGGCTGTCAATTCTCCTGGTGGATCCAGTGTTACTGCGTTCACCTAGCCCAGTGGCTCGCTGCCTGTAGGCAGCAGTGGTGGTAATTCAGAATTTTCAGCAGGGATTGTACCAAACGAAACACAAAAGCCAAGAAATGAAATCAAGGTGGAGGTTAAAGAACCAACTAAAGCCAGAAGTTTGTGCTAGAGGCTGAGCTGGTGTGTGCCAGTGAGGGAAAGGGTGAGTTGAACAGGAGACTGCTGGGCTTCCTCTTTCTCCACGCTTCATGAAGGAGCCATTTAAGGAATATAATTTCAAGTTAGATCAATATGAACCTAGGTACGAATAAGAAAATAATTCCTGTTTTACTGTTGGTAATGTGTACACACCTCATGTGGACAGTCTGGGTTTTTTCTGTAGAAACAGGCACTAATTTACTAACACATTTACTAATCTGCATGCATTTCTAATCTCGTACTGTCCAGCATTTCTCTTTGAAGTCAAAGTCAAATCAGTTATGATTTTATTACAGATCTTCCTGAGAACAGCTGGGAAATTTTTGTGTTTCTCACAAGGAAATGAGTAGGATAGTTGGACAGCTTAGAAGCCTTTTCTTTAGAGGGTAAAGAGTAGTCAAAGGCTAATGTGTTCTTTTAAAACAAATAAGTAAATATAAAGACTGCGTTCCCTGGAAGGCTCTAAAAGCTTTTTGTGTATGAAGTCATGTTGTTTCTTTCGATTTGTTTTCCTGTTTTGTATTTGAAGAACATTTGCACAAAATTAGGTAATCATTTTGTTCTGAGGTCCATGAGATTGATTTTCATAGAAACTTGTTTCCACTAGAAGTACCTGAGAAGATATTACATAAATTTTATTGCTATTATTCTGTTCCTCACTTCTTAAGTAGGGTACGCTCCTGTGAAAGTATCAGCAAGCTGTACTATTAATAGGTGTGAGAAATCTATTCTATAAAATCACTTTCAACAGTTCGCTTGCCCATGTGTCAGGCCAGCATTGCTGGTTAACCCGGCTGTTTCAAGTGCTTCTGCTCCTTCAAAATGTAGCACAAAACCTGACTTACTGCTGACCTCCGTGCACGGTGTCTTCTGTGTCACCTTTTTCTCATTCCCCAGTGCCCATCTGACACATTGCTCCATTTAAAAGATCAAAAAAAACCTCCAGAAGATGCTAGAAGCGATTCCCAGAATGAATTTACTCAGGTTTCTTTGCTTCCAGGAGCAGGCCTTAACTTTGCCCAAGGCCATGCCAAAGGGTAGAGTGTGCTTGTGCAGGCAGCCTTGGCTTTACCACCTTGAAGTAGCCAGGACACTCCTCTGAATGAAAAGAGTTGATTTGAAGGAGTGACCAGTATCCCAGACTATGAGGAGTGGGAAGGGACCTGGAAAGCTCCCCCAGTGCAACCCCTGCCACAGCAGGATCACCACAGCAGTCACACAGGAACATGGCCAGGGCTTTGGGTGTCTGCAGACAAGGAGACTCCACAACCTCTCTGGGCAGCCTGGGCCATGCTCCATAACCCTCACACTCACAAACTTTGGCCTCATCTTCAGCTTGAACCTCCTGTGCTCCAGCTTGGGACCATTGCCCCTTGTCCTGCCATTGGCCATCCCAGAGCAGAGCCTGGCTCCTTCCTCCTGACACTGCCCTTTCCCAATGGATCCCCAGGAATGAGGGCACCCCTCAGGCTCCTCTGCTCCAAGCTCAAGAGCCCCAGCTCCCTCAGCTGCTCCTCAGCAGGAGATGCTCCACTCCCTCCAGTTTGTCTCTTCCTCCCCCAGCCCTGCTCACGTGTGGTTTTTGTTTCTCAGGACAGAATGCCAGCCAAGCTCCAAGGAAAGACACTGAAAAAGCTTCAAGCTCCAGGAAAGATCACCACCAGGTCCTCAGGACAACTTATCTCAACGATGTGAAAAGGGCTTTGACCCAAGGCACTTACAGCCGCTTCTATGAAGCGTTGTTAGCTTACAAGAGGACGGATAACTACGATGCCATGGTGTCTGTGATAGCAGCCCTCACCACTGAGAGGCCAGAAGACTTCCATCTCCTACAAAGTAAGGGATTTTTTTTAATACTTATGATTAATTTTAGTTGAAAAGAAGACGTAGGTGCTGTGGTCTCATGTGAGCAATAACGTTTCCCTGGTCGTTAGTCTGCAGATTTTCCACTTTTAGGAAAAACTTGTCGTATTGGTAAACTTCACCTCTGCCATCTTTTGGTTTAGCAAACCAAATAAATGGTGCAGCAGGAAAGAGGTGTTAAAGAAGTGACAAGGTTATAAAATGTTAGATCTGTTTGTTCACTTAGAAACTATCCATTAAAATCATCAGGTAAGACCTCAGTAATTCCAGTCCTAACCTTCAGTTAGGAAGTTAGTCCTTCAGTCAAGTCAAATGATTTTATTACCTTTTTGGTCTCCCAACTACTCCAAGTGAACTACTCTTTAGAAAAGACAGCGCTGACTGTTGAACTGACTCAGTTTTGTTCTCCTGATCGCTAACTGCAGTGCTGGCACTAAGGGCTTAGATCGTTTCCAGGTTTGGGGATTGGCAATCACGCTTTTGATTCACTCCTCTTCTACAGAGCATCATGTGGGAATAGTTGTGGAACCATGTCATTATTTAGTATCCTCATCATTCATAATCATCCTCTAGAAGTGTCAAGCTGATACTTTTCTTAGCAGTGGTTTGGTTTGTGGTTTTTTTTCCTTTCCTGGATTTAATGATGAAAGAATTTAGGAATCTACAAGTCTTAAAAGTTTGAAATTGGGCTTTATTGTTTAAAAAAGAAAGAGAAGAGGGATTATAGGGTGGTCCTGATTGCTTGGATGGAGACATCTTGTCCTGTGCTATGGGACACCTCAGTTCCCCTTCTCCCATGTCTGGTGTCAACTCCTCTGTAGTAAATGATCCATACAGCTGGGAAATGCTGATGTACTTTCATTTGTCATCTTCAGGTAATAGCAATAAGTGTTCCATTGACCTTGAGCAGATGTGATAATCTCCAAATGCGTAGTAAATCATTCTTTTCTGATGCATTAACTAGACAGATTAGTTTTGACACAGTGAAGAGTGGGAGGTAAACTGAGTGTGGTGCTGTGAGTCATAATCTCCCCCTGAGCATTCTTTCTCACACACACAGTATTTTCACTAAGCAAATATTTTGACCTCGGAAGACTTTGTGGTAGAATTGTCTGTGCTTGGCTCTAAGTCACAACTGGGATTTTTTTAGGATTTCTGTCTGTGTTGTGAATCCTTGCCAACCAAACACTAATAAGAAATTCCCATTCTGGGGGAGTCTTTTCAGATACGGTGTATCTACCTGATTTTGCTAGATCAGTTTTGAGGTGAAGAGCTGAATTTCAAAGTAAGTTGAGGTTATTTTCAATACTAAATACTCATCTGCCTTCTGGCAAGGTAAACTCCATAAAATCAACGAAACCATCAACTTTTCCACCAACCTGAAGATACTCTGAGGATTATGACTGATCAGCTTCCAAAGAATTTCACCCCTCCAAAGCAAGGACTCTTCCATGGCCAGGCATTTCTCTTCCTGTGCATTTGACTGGACTTTGTTTTGGACAGGGTTTTACATGTTTGTGCGCCCTCACCACAAAGAGAGGTTCAAACAGATGTGCAAAGATGTGACTGGAATGGTGTGTGGCGAGGGCGAGAAGCAACCGCAGCACCAGGTGCCAGGGGAAGGGAGCCCTCCAAGTTTGGAAAGCTGCTGCATTAAGGAAGAAAACACCCACGTACAAGGTTGGGAATGCACGTTTGTTTGAAGTTTAGCATCTTATTTATTGTTGTTATGGGTAGCGTCCAACTGCCTTCACTGTGGGCTAGGGCCTCCCTCCACTCAGTGTGTAAAGGAAGATCAAAGCAGTTGGCTGTGTCCAAATGCTCTTAACCCAAAACCAACTCAGGTGCGAGAAGGTGATGTGAGATGGGGAAGTGCAAGGAAACAAGAAAGAAAATGAGTTACAGTGCCATTTTCCTTATACTCTGATGTGAGTTATGGGTGAAGGCAGAATTTTTATGTCTGAGTGGATTGGGAGCAGAAGTGGATCAAACTCCACTGTGTCTTGGAAGAATTTCCACAGAACTATTTCAATATAAAGGGTTCCTTTCAGTAATAATGCATGCGTTGGTATCAGAAACTTCTGTTACCAAGCAGTATGGCATTAAAGCAATAGTTATTCAGTGTTTTTCTTCCTACACAATGAGAATCCCAGCATGTCAGGAGTTGGAAGGGACCTGGAAAGCTCCCCCAGTGCAACCCCTGCCACAGCAGGATCACCAGAGCAGTCACACAGGAACACGGCCAGGGCTTTGGGTGTCTCCACACAAGGAGACTCCACAACCTCTCTGGGCAGCCTGGGCCATGCTCCATAACCCTCACACTCACAAAGTTTGGCCTCATCTTCAGCTTGAACCTCCTGTGCTCCAGCTTGGGACCATTGCCCCTTGTCCTGGCATTGGCCATCCCAGAGCAGAGCCTGGCTCCTTCCTCCTGACACTGCCCTTTCCCAATGGATCCCCAGGAATGAGGGCACCCCTCAGGCTCCTCTGCTCCAAGCTCAAGAGCCCCAGCTCCCTCAGCTGCTCCTCAGCAGGAGATGCTCCACTCCCTCCAGCATCTCTGTGGCCCTGCTGGACTCTTTCAAGCAGTTCCTGTCCTTCTGGAGCTGAGGGCCCAGCACTGGACACAAGATTGCAGCTGTGGTGTGAGCAGGGCAGAGCAGAGGGGCAGGAGAACCTCTCTGCCCTACACCCACCCCTTCTCATCCACCCCAGGATGGCGTTGGCCTTCTTGGCTCAAGGGCACATTGCTGCTCATGGGCATTGCTGCCACCAACACCCCAGGGCCTTTCCAGCCACTCATCCCCAAGCCTGTAGCGCTGCATGGGGTTACTGAGAACTTACTGTACTTACTACTAATTGTGTTTTGCAGAGCCTGTGTATTGTGTTCTGCATTACAGTGTTTTGTATGCTCACTTGTTTTGTTTTTTCTGTAACCAGACACAGCCCATTTGAAGAGTGAGATGCCAGAGAAAACTCAGAGAAAGATTTCCTCCTTCTGCTTTAAGCAGGAAAGCAAACCTGAGTTGTCAACTATCAAAGTATCAGAAGAAACCATTAACGTGAGAGCAGCCACAAGCTCTGGAGCTGTGCCTATCTTTCCCCTAGAGATGGAGCCAGAGTATGGTAGGTATAGGTGAGATTTTTGGATGTAATTCTCTAACACTGGGAAACAAGTAATAGAAACGAGCATTATGCTGATGGGCTATTAAATGATGCCTGGTTCATGCCTGTATTTGCTCAGGTGCAATACTGCTCGGTGGGGTTTGCTAAGCAGAATTTGTACTTTCTGCCACTTGCTCGTGTTCTTTCAAAGCACTTCATTGTCTGGGCTGCAATGAGGTAATCGCTTCCCGAGAACTTACGTATTTTTCTTGACAACTTCCTTATAAAGCGAGGATGTAACCTGGGTTTCTGAATGGGGCTGTGAAGCACCCGGAGCCTGAGTGAGGTCACCTGAAAGGAATAATGTAACAGGGCCAGGTATTGCATGGGGTATTGTAAAGCTCCTGGTCACCGTTTTCTGCGCAGCACCGGAAAAACGTGAGAATTTCACAGGTGATTACTGGAATGTAGTCATTTCCTCCCTCTCTTTCTCTCTCCCCCTTTCCCTGTGTCTGTCCCTTCTGTTCTAGGGAGATACCAGTGCTCTAACTGCAAATCTGAGGACGATGTGCCTTTTAAATGTCCGTTATGTGACTTCACTTGCTGCAAAACATGCTGGGAGCAGTTCTTACAGGTTATCTGGTTTATTGGTTTCAGTTTTTCCTGAAACTGCTGCTGAATTCTGTGCTTTTCAGGAGAACCACGTGGACAGCCCTGGAAAGAGAATTCCTCAGTTTACAGAGAGAGGACATAAATCCCAGTGGAAGATTTACCACTTGTTTCATTATTTTCCACGTTCTGCAGTGTGATTGGAGGCAAATCTCTGCCTTAGGCTGTGGTTTTTACACCCTTCCATCTCCTTCTGAGCTGCCTGTACGTGTTTTCATGTCTACAGCTACGCAGGCAACAAGCTGTGCAGTCAACTTGAGAAAAATAATTTAGTTTTACATCTAAGCCTTTATTTTAATTTTTTTTCCTTGCTTAGTTTTGTAATTTCCCCCATCCAAAACCCTACTGTAAAGCACTGTCATGAGATGAGGAGAACTGGGAACAGGCTGCCTAGGGACGTGTTTGAGTCACCATCCCTGGAGGTATTTAAGATGTGTAGACATGGTGCTTAGGGACATGGCTTAGTGGTGAGCTTGGCAGTGTTAGGTTAACTGTTGGACTCTGTGATCTTAATCTAAATTTCTATGAATGTCTAATTTGAAATTCATGCCTCAGATATCTCCTGTTATGTTGTCCTTTGGTTTTCCTGGCTGAGTAAACTGGTGGTTGAAATTCTTAGGGTGTGAGGATGTAACTGATCCCACAGTGCATGTGTTTGGTAGCATCTTGCCCAATGTTTGGTTCGGCAGCCAGGTGTTAATAATCTGTGACCCTGGGTTTGGAAGCTCAGTACAAGAGTTGAGTGGTTTCTAATCATTCATAGGCGATGAAGAAGGCTGTGATGAAGAATCGATGGGGCTCAGGAACCTATGAAAACAATACAGAAGGAAAAGACACTTCTTCAACTTGGGAATCTATAAGCAAGTACAAAATAATCAGTCACTCCACATTCTGGAGGAAGGTCTTTTTCTCAGGAAGAAGACACTGAATTATGTCAGTTTAGTGTAGAAAATGAAGAAGATACTAACATCCAAATAAAAGATAGCAACCAATGCAGACTCTGTCCAAGAAGAATATAAATGATGTCCAGACTGATGTTCTCAGACATACAGCTCCTAGAGGGAATGCAGAATAGCTGTTCAACTAAATTTCATTCTCAGTCTTATTTCTTTTAAAATGATAAAATAAGAAGCTGTTGGATATGTAAGGTAGTCCAAGAAAGTCCAAGAAAGCCAAAGGAAGGCATCTCGTGTTTGCTTGCAGTCAAACCAATTGCCTTGGATGGGCATTACAGCTGAATACTCAGTTTTTCCTTGTTCAGCCCTGTTATACTTTGGTGTCAGTCTGACAGTCGGTGTATTCCACTTCACAAGAGACTCTGGGAACATCATGACAAGGATTCTACTGGCATGTGTTTATAATCTCTGCTGCTTGAGACGTGGGTTGATTAAGAAACAGAATGAGCTCTCTGGGGAGTTTCTTTTGGTTAGGCAAGCATTTGTTATTCCAAAGGGCGATTGTTATCTCAGCCCATAGATTTTATAAGTGTCTGGGGAAAGTGTCCCTTTTGCCAGTAAGATGTAGCTTGTAATAGTTGTCTCATCAGATTAAGTATCCACAAAATTAGAACTGTTGTATATTGAGCAATTATACTGCCCTGTTCTGTGGGTTTTTGTCTTGAAATTGGTAATTCTGAGGTCTGGTTTTCTCCTTAGTCCCTAAGTTAATGTGCATTGTAATAGCTCATAAATCCCAGCTTGCTCAGCTGAGGACTTGGGGTTTGTCTGTTTTGGAGGAAGAAGCCTGCGGGGTGACCTCATTGCTCCTACAGCTTCCCAAGGAGAGGAGAAGTGGGAGGTGCTGCTCCCTTCTCATAGTATCTGGTGGCAGGAGGTGTGGGAGCGATTCAAAGCTGTATCCGGGGCAGTTCACACGAGGTATTAGGAAACGTTTCTTTACTGAAAGTGTGGTCAAACACTGGCCCAGGCTTCCTAGAGAGGTGGTTGATGCCCTCGATGTGCTTGAACTTTTGTTCAGCCCTGAAGTGGCCAGGCAGTTGGACTGTAGGTGATCGCTGTAGGTCCCTTCCAACTGGAAGTGTTTTTTCTATCCCATTCAGGTATCCAATACAAAGCTGTGTTTGAGGAAATGAGTCATTCCCCATGGGTCATTTGCAATTAATGACTTCCATATTTACCTGAATAACCTTGGTAGTTACAGTGAAACTTCATCCCACGTTGTACCAGGTGATTGCAGGGGAAAGAAAATACCTCTGTTTTTTCTTAGCAAGGTGAACCAGAGCTTTGCTTTGTGGTAGCACAGCACAGCCCTGTGAGGTGAATGTGGCCTCATAGTTTGTAAGGATCGGGAAGGACAGAGACCGTTTGAAGCAAATAATCAGGATGTAATAGCAGATGGACAGACCTTTACTCTGACTCAGTACAACCCAGTGCTCTGTCTCTGACGGTGGCCAAAAAAGAGTGGCTAGGAAAGGATAAAAGAGCATGGCAAGCGTGAGGGATTCCTGCAGGTGATCTCTCAGCCCCGGAGCTATTTGCAGCACAAAAACTCCCTGAGTCAAAGGTCTCTTTTGTATAACAAGAAGCCTCTGATGCATTTCCATCGCATTGTCCCATTCCCTTTGAAAACAAATGAACTTGTCACCCGTGTCGTGCAGCGAGCGCTCCCGCAGCTCACCCAAACGTTATGTAAAGAACCGTCTCCTTTTTGTTGTTGTCATTTTGAACCCGCTTCTCGCTACTTCAGTTTAACGCCCTGCTTGTTTAAAAAGGACTAACAAAATATTCTCCTAGTCTCAAGAAAATGCATCATGGCTCTCCCATCCTTCAGCAGTGCAGCTTTGGAGTCTTCCTACCTACGCCAGCAGTGTGATCCGTTTGCCTCCTCCATAGCATACTTCAAAGCCCTTATCTCTAAAAATACAGGGGTTTCTTGTTCTGTACAACAAACTGTTGTGTGTGGGGGATGCAAGAAGCATCTTCTCACCAGCTGAGACCTTTTGCTCCACTCTTCAAGCACTTCTCGAGGCTCAGCATGACTGATGTTCTGTAGCCTTTCAGTGAGCATGAAGCTGTCATCCCATCACCTTTTCTTACCTCACTCGTGGCATAGCTCTCTAGTGATAAATCCTTCTCAGTCTACAGTAACGTTAGCTTGCTTATGATACATTTCAAGTGTGGTTTGGTTAATGAAAGGTCAAATACCTTGTCGTTTGGGGTGTTACTTGAGGACTGATGGAGAGAGGCACCTCTCCCAGTGATGAGGCAAAACTGGTCTCCACTACTCACGCAGATGAGAAGGAAGAGCAGCCTGGTTGAGTGCCCAGGATTGCAAACAGGAAGATAATTCCATGTTTCCCTGAAACCAATCCCAGAGGAACCATCTCCTACCGCTGCCATCCACATTCCTACCCCTGCATCGTGCAGATGATTGACTCCCTCTGTGGCAAGGGATCCGTGTGTTTGGGATGGAGGTGCCGTACCAGCAGGAAATGAGCGAGCAAGTTTGTTGAGGCTGAGCTCTCATCAGATGGCATCGGCCTTTGTCACCACTGACTGGGCTGGATGGGGAAAACTCATCTTTTTGTTTTTGCTAACAAGTTACTCACTGTGTTTTTTCCACTTGAAAGCACTTTGGTGTGTATTGTCCTACGAGGAAGTGACTAACAGCCTGTCATTCAAACTGCAATGACTTGGAGCTTTCGAATCGCGGTGTCTCTTCCAATTCAGTGTTTCACTGAAAGAGCTTAGTGGTGGGGAGAGGCGGTGAATAATTTGGGAATGACTTGGAGCAGCACGCAGCTCCCCTGGCAGCTGGAGGGGTATTAGAGGGATTAGTGCTGGTGATTTTCGGTGCATTAGGGGAAGCCTTGCAGAGCCTGTGCCAGCAGACGCTGGGTTTTGGGTTTGGTTTTCTGTGCAGAGGCCTGGTGCTGCTTTTCAGTGTTTAAATGCATCATTTATTCATGCTCTTTTTGCAGGTATTTCCTGAGACTGAGTAGTTGTTTTCATTTGGACTATCTGTAATATGGGCAAACACAAGATTTCACAATTAAATAGTGCACTTAAAATTTTTGGAGCTCTTTACCTCCCAGTAGACAGTGGTTTGTCAAAGGGAGTTTTCCTCTCCCTTTCCATTTAGAGTATTTCAATTCATGTTTCTGGAATCAAACTATTAGTGCCTGAGCCTACTTTGCAGCCTATACCTCTTGTTGCAGTGATGAACTTCCATAAGAAAGCCTGCACAGTGTCCCTGATGTAGGTAACCCTCACTTTAGCCTGCTGAGCTGGCAATTTCCTCCCAAAAATGACATTTTAAACACATTTTTGTTACTATTTCACTTTGGAAACAAGCAGAGCATTTTAGTTTTCCCAGTTATTTGCAAGCTATCTAAAGAAGTAAAAAGTTGGGGGTTTGTGATTGGCTCAAGCGGCTGAAGACCACACTTGGAAATTTAAGATTAGTGAAGAAGCAAACTGAACCCTGTTGGAGAAACGGTTGCCTCGTGTACCCAGTCCTCTGCTGCTGACAGAGAAAGGTGTGGGGTGGTATGAGAAATAAATGTACTTGGTTCCCCCACAAAACTCATGGTCACGACCAGATTGTGTCACCAATGTCCTGATACAGCCAGGAGATCGCTTCCTTCTCACCTGTGCAAGAGGAAGCAGCAGTTCAGGGAACTCGCCAGCCGTCTTACGAGGCTTTACCAACAGCAACGACATCTGCACCTCACAACAGCTCCTTCTCTATTTCCTCATTCCTGTATTTTAGCCTTCCAGCTATGTCGTAGCTGTCATTAACGGGAGGTGACTGCTGCAAAGGTTGTTGCTTGCTTTTTCCTCCTTTTCTTCCTAGCAGTGGAATAACAGCCTGCACGGTAACACTGCATTTAAACACCATAGATAGGATATCTTGGGGACTGTCAAAGGGCTGGCATGGCTTGTAGCTCATATTGGATCATTGCAAACTTGGTAGAGAAATTGAATCTCTTCTCTGTGTATTTTATTTGTTTCTAAAGGTGGTGAGGAAGTGCCCGGAGTGCCACAGTGATGTGAAGAAGCAGCGATTAATCCAAGCTTTCTTCTGGTTATAACCTCACCAACAGAAAGGGCGAGTATTTTGGGACCAGCAGGAAGCAGTGGCTGCGCTCTGGCTCCTGAGCTGAATGAGAGCAGGATGGAGGTGCATTTAAATATCTTTAACCCTCAGCTATTGATTGCACACCAGACACCAGCACGTGTCATTGCTTCCTACAGAGGTGACCAAGCCTGAAAGGTCTCATCAGCCAGGAGACAAAGCAGAACGTTGGAGATAAGGTTGATTTCTTACTTATTTTGGCCTGGAAACTCTTTTGTGGCTGCTCTTAGGTCAAAGTTGTGTGTCCTGGAGGCAGATGTTGTTCATGAGCCCTTCAGGTAACAGCAGATCCTGGAAAAGCCCCAGCAGCAGTGCAACAGTGGAACTACTCATGAGCTGAATAACGAGGCCGTACCCGTCCCTGCCGCTCTGGTGTTCCTGGAAGGGTGATTCACGGCCCTGCTTGGTGTTTGGCACCGCCTGCCGTCTCCAACACCAGAGGATGCTGAGAGAATGACTTCTAAAAGCAAATTCCCGTGGTTAGGTGGTGAGCACAAACTGCCCTTGCAGCTGCTGTGTGCCCCAAGGCCCCGTTCCTTCCATCGTGCTGGGAATTCGGGGAAACGTGGCTTTATTTCCTGCTCAGTATTGCGACTTCCACTGTGCCTGTGTTAGCTGGCATTTGCTTTCCAGGAAGAAAAAGGAATTAATTTCAAATAAATCAAGTTAATAAAAAAAGGTCCTTAATACTCCCACTCTCTGTGAGCAGTGGATAGAAGTGGTTAACCCGAAAAATTATACCAATTTTATATTTTCAGTAGCTGCTGTAAATTCAACTATAAATAAAACCATTGTTGTCCTAACTGGGTTTTGTTTCATTTACTTTTTTTTTACCAGATATAAAATCATTGGGTAGTGAGTCCCAATGGCCCTGGTGGGAGAAGTGGAGAGGTTTATGGTGTGGGATTTTTTGGTGCTTGAATGTTTTTGACCAAAAAAAAAAATCAATGGAATTTTGGGAAATTTTATGTTAATAATTTGATAAAATTGAAAGGTGAGCTGCGTTTTACCAAAAATTTCAATGGCTTTTATTTCCCCCTGGTTAGAGAATACAAAACTGGTACCACTTCAGATCTCATCGTTGCTGGGGTATTGGTCCTCACGGAGAAATTTGGGTGTTTTCAGGTTGCCACTCACTCTACATGGACGTAACCTTGTAGTGTGTGTGATGTTGTGACTCTCGTGCATTGAAATGTGGAGTAATGTGTGTGTGTCCATGTCTGGATTCACTGCCATCAGGCTATTGGGAACATAAAGAGTGACGTTCTTAAATGGCAGTGACACAGGAGCTTCCCATACTTCATTAATAGATAGAAATAACGAGGATTTAGGCAGCAGTGAAGGTAATTTGGGGCAAGCATATATTCTGACGTGTTTAAATCTGAATTAATTTGACCTTCTCTCCACGTATCTATTCAGTGCACCTCTGATAGCAGTTTAGGTGCTGCAGACAAGAATAAATGATGCAGAGAAAGGCTGTGATAGTTGGAATGAGAGTGGGAAAAATTACAGAAAGCTGTGTGTGTATGTATATATATATACACACTTTATATATATGTGTGTATATATATATGTACATATATATGTGTGTATATATATGTACACACTTTTGTGTGTGTGTGTATATATAAAATAATATAAATGAACAGGAAAGACTTGCAGTGATGGTGTCAAGGTGGCAGCGATGTTAAACCCTTGTCCCTCAGCAGGACTCGGTTCTGTAACGTGCTGACTGTGTTGTGTTTACTGATGGAAATCCTGCCTTTTGCTGCACTGAAATCTCGCCAGAAGCGCAGAACAGTTTTGTTTCCCCGAAACCAAAGCAGCTCTGTACGTGAAACGTGCTACATTTTATTTGTTGAGGTTGCACAAGTCGTGCCCTGAGTGCTCTTTCTTATCACTTGTTCTCTTTTCCTTTAATGACTATAGCAGTCATCATTGCAGTACAGAGGTTTAAAAAGAAAAAGAGCGTGGTGCTGCTGGTTTTCAGCTCTGCCAATTCTCCGCGTGGGATAAAGCCTCACAGCTGCCTCCAAGCACGTCCCTGCCGCTTTTCGGATGCTCTCTGTGTTCTCTCAGCCTGGACAAGCAGTGGAAGGGGAAGTCAGAGGTGGGAGCAGCACACAGTCAAATGCAAAGTGGTGGTTCGGTGTCTGCTGCGTGAAGAGCTGTCCCCGGGGAGCGCTGCAGCTTTTGGCTTGTGCCACTGGAGGGAAACCACAGCACGGGACCTGAGCTTTGGACATCTCGAAGGCTGCAAACGATGGCTTTGGGGCTGCCAGTTGGAAATGATCTGTGGGCTGCAGAAACGCTGTAAGATCCAGCAAGACTAAATGAAACGCAGAAAAAGAATGCGTGACTTGCTGAGAAAAACGTTTTACGCTCTGGTTTTTTGCCCTTAACTAGGACAGCTTTCCAGTTGCGCTGTTTTCCTTGCGTCTGGAGTTGTTTGAGCTCTGGAGGCTGCTCCTGCTTGGCAGTGTTGGTGAGATGGGGCAGAGCTGGTCCTTGTCTGAGGCTTCTCCACTCACCGCTGAGTTTTCGGTTGAATGACGACCAGGACGTAACGGTTCTGTCACTCCTGACGCAGCGGTGAGAGGTTTGCTGAGGAGTTACACCCCTCAGTTAAAAAGGCAGGCGGCCGTAACGCTGAGCAGCGATGAGTGGTGGTGTCCTTCACTGTAACCCACACGAATCCCCTGGTGGGACACCCCAGTTCTGAACTTGCGGGTGCCTCTCAAGGTCTTTACCCTCATGGATCACTTGGCTTCACTAAATAGCAGCACCATCGCATCCGAGGAGGGTGTTTGTGCCAGGGCATCCTGCCTGGTTTATGGTGGACACCCAGCAGAGTTATCTGACCCGTGGTCCATGCCCTTCCCGTTCCCACCTCCAACCTCTGCCCAGTGGCCGAGCACCCTTGGCCACGCATTGCCATGGCAGGTTGCTCCAAAATCGCTCCTCACCAGGACCGTGTGTACACTTCCACTCCCCATCTTCCACAGAAATGCTCAGGGGCTTCTGCATCACCCAATCTTCCCTGACCTCGGCACGGTTCTCCTAAATGCGTTTATAGAGCGATGCTTCCCCTCCAAGGAAGCTGCTTCCAACGAAGCCTTGCAGAAGAGGGTCTGCAGGAGCCAGCTGCCGGGATGTGCCGCAGATCGCGATCTTCTCTCATCTTGAAACCGGTTTACGAGAAGATAACACATTATTTATGAAGACCAGAAAGTGAAATCAAGAATTGTTTCACCAAAAGAATAATCTACGTTGCTTGAAGTGGATAGAGGAACTGATCCAAACTGCTCAGGGAGAGGGGAGCCCATCCTTGCTGATTTTGGGAAGCAAATGACACACGAGGTATGGATAATGAAGGAAGTAGATGGTAATCTCACCTCATTGTCCCTGCCTTGCACTGCTATGACTAGACCTGGAATATCATTTCCAGTTTTAATGGTGTGTCACCGAGGAAACTTTTCCCTGCTGTTTTTTTTCCCTGAATAAAGCTGGAAGGACTTGGGAAAGAGACCAAAAATAACAAAGCCCCTGTTGTAGCAGGAAGGATGTGAATCCCTGTCTTTGCTTCTGACAGAGAGCGAGGGATCCCTTTACTTTTCAGAGCTTTCTCTTGAATATTGGAGAGAAACCTGGTTTTGCAAGAGTGGTTTTGAGAAGCAGCTCTGCTGGGCAGCCCGGAGCCCTCACGAGTGTGAGGTGATGCCCTGTGCAGGGAAGTGAGATCAGAGCCATGAGGGGATGATGCCAAATTCCTTTCCTAAGCTGCTCCCCAGGTCGAAGTCAGGAGTGAGATGATTTGTGGCTTTCCAGTGATCAGGCACGGCAAACCCATTTTGGGAGGTTTGTTGGGCAAGAACAGGCAGGAAAAGCTGAATCGAAGGCTGTTCTGCCAGCCTCTTCTCTCCCTAAAAAGGCAGAGGTTGCCTGGGGAAGCCCTTTCTGTCCCATTGATGTGGTCTGTAAATCTTGATCTGGCAAATTGGTGTTAAATTCAGAACAAAGTGCATTGGTGGGACCGCGTTGTGTGGCGGTATCCTCATGATGATGGTGCGTAGGACATGGACTGTCCTGAAGTCCCATCTGGGATGTGCCGCCTGCGTTCGCTCCACAAATTGTGTGGGTTCCTCCATCCCCAAATAGGTGTAAACAGGGGATCCTTGGTGGGTTTCTTCCCCTCTAAGAGAAATGAAGCCGTTCAGATGAACTCCTTTGAGTAATCCCTTTGCAAACGGCGCGGCGTGACCGTTCATCACCTCGACCGACTCACGAGTTTGCAAAAGGCTGGGTGGCCTGATTTCTGTTGCAGCTTCTTGGAAACCTCCAGATGTGTCAGCAAGAGGGCTGCAAACAGGATAAACCGTGTGAAACCCATGGTAGGAAAGGCAAGGCACTGCCCTTGCACTGGGGTGGCTCTGAAACACTGGGCTGAGAGGGGTAAGACAACGGTGCGGGGCTTCGTGCTTGACTCAAATGAGCAATGAGTCTCACCCAAGCTAAACATCCTCGAGAGGATGTGCATCAGTCCCAGAGGAAGTCCCAAGGGAGATAAATTGATACATTTTAATTACTGAGATGATGCATCGTGACAAAGCAGAGAGCCCCAGTAGCCCTTGGCTCAGGGATTATGGCAAAAGGTGCTGCAAATCATGGGGGTTAATTCAGGGAGCTGCAAGGGACTGAGGGAAACCTGCGGTGGGATTAAAATCCATGTGAGAGTGCCCTGTGAAGATCAGCCCAGGGCCTGTTCTGTGCACTGTGGGTAAATACAGACCACGCTGTACCCTTCGCTCACCCGACAGCGCAAAACACAGCCCCTTTGGCTCCAGCTGGAGCCAGGGTTTTCCCTTTAACCACGACGGGTAGCAACTGGCCTTACTGGAAGGAGCTTTGGTTTCCTTCTGACCATTGGGGTCTGGGTGGCAGAAAACTGGGTTTTGT